AAAGGGGGGCGGAGGCGGGGGGGCTGGGGAGAGACACCCGGCTCGGCGGCGCAGACAGCGAGTGCTCGCTTCCCCCTGGCTCGGGGCCCTTTATAGCCCGGGCGGGAGGCGTTGCCGGTGCATTTTTTTCTGTTGCATTCCCGATGATTTTCATCACCCCTAAAATCTGAGCCAACTTCCAGAATCGTCATTTTTGCCTTTGTTCTAGTCATGCTTTTTGTCGTATTCCACTAGAAACTTTTTATCTCACAAAGGGCGTCTTTATGCTTCTTCCGTTTCCAAGTAAATAGTCAGGTGTGATTCAAAGTAGGAGGCTCCTTGCTCAGGGCTACATTTTAATACTGCTTCGTACTGTTAGCTCCAAAACAGAGCTGCTCAGACAACGTTTCGACGGAGTAAGTCAGCATCTCTCTTGCTGTGTCTTTTCATCCCAGCTACCGCAGTTTCCTGTCTCTACTCACATTGTACACACAGCACACCTGCAGGGACAACAGCCGTGTCGCGAAGCCCTGAATGCACATCTACAGTCCCGTGAGTACAATGGTGCTAGAAGGAACTTGGCTACCGATCCTGGAAATGCAAGTCCTCTCTTTTATCCACAGAGGGAGGGATGTTCTGTAATGAAAAAGCAATGAAAAGGGAGTTCATGCTTCAGGGCTCGTTCAGTTCTTCACTTCAGAGACCACCCAAGAGTGGAGGAATATGAAAATGCAGTAAGCAGCGGATATTTTGTCTTGTTCTTTGTGAATGGGAGCATAGCGAACCATTCAGAAAGGGCAGGGTGTGGCTACTAGCTGGCATAACTTAAAAATTATAAGATGCTCCAGGACAAAATATGGAATAGCATAAAGTAGATGAAGGATGTAAGGAGAAAAGCTCCTGGACTCTAAGCACTGTGAACAAGAGCGCAAAATTGGCAATAACATAGCTTAGCAGCTAATGCTAGCGATGTTTTCTGTGATGAACATCTCAGTCAGTTGTGACCAGGGATGACAATGGCAGCGTGAGTTTGGAGTTTACAGCTCCCATGTAAACAGGGCTCCAGGAGAGATATTGGTTGCTTCTGAAGAGCAACACGGCTCAAAAACCGAGTGCACCAGGCATGGTCCAGCTCCGCTGTCTGTTCTCCGTGCTGGCCTGCGTCACGGGCAGAAACCACAGACCTGAGTGTCACTAGCTAATAATGCAGGGTGTGGAGGAGAAGATATTTCTCATGTGTGTACATGGTGAATTGCTTGACTGTCTTCGCAGACAGGCCCCAACAACCCCTTCCCAACAGCCAAGTTCTTCCTTAGATCATTTGCCAAAGGAGGGGGGAGCGAGTATGGAAATAGGCAACAAAGGTACATTTCTAAGTAGCTTTAAAGGGCATGACTCCCTCCCCCCTATCTGAAGAAAGCTGGAAACAGTACAGGAGTGGGATGTGTCCTTGGAATATCAGGAGCCGGCTGCTATGGAGAAGCACAGCTAGCGACGTTCCCATTTGCTGCTGGCGAACAGAGACAAGTCTGTACGATGTGGAGAACTGGAACCTCCGCCGTGTTTGCTCTGGCCGGAGGACGGGTTCAGTCTCTTGGCGGCAGCATCTTCTTGTCGCGTGAGTGCCAGGAGACGGGGCACGGAGCCAGCGGACGCCCACCTTCTGCTCGTCCTCCCCAGCTGCAGACGGCAAAGGCGCAGCAGCGCGGGGGCGGCTGGGACGTGTCGCTCCGAGGAGCGTGCTTTCTCCGAGGAGCGTGCTTTCTGCCTGTCTTCGTTTCCTCACCTTCACCCCGGTGATACCAAAGGGCAGAGCTCACGGGTTGTCCTTGCCGCGTGCAGCGGTGGCACAGAAAAAGGGCAACGTCGGTGACAAAACCAGTATGGAGCCCCTGTGCAAGTCCAGACGCTCAGCCTTGACCTGAGCAAAGCCTTTCGGGCCGGCCAGCCGGCCGGGGTAATCAGCTTCCCACAGACTGGCTGTAGGATGAATAACTGTCACATTACCAGGTTACCAGCATATTCTTCCTTTACATGAAGTTGCCTTTTCTTTCATCTTTTGTTTCCTATTTAACCACTGTGTCATAAAATACATATTGCTCAAAATATCTATGATATTTTGATAATACCACAAAGCAGCAATTAAAATTGTGAAGTGTTAATTAAGACTTAAAACAACATATTAAAAATTCTAAGACGTTATTTACATGACCGCCCATTGAACACAACCACAAATGACTGCATATTGTTTGTATCACACTCTCTTTTAAATAAAAGGCTGACTATTAAATTAGATTCTGCCTCCGTTTCACGAGCACATGCACACCGTGAGCCTGGTTTTTATACATTTCAAAATCAGAATGCCAGTCCTATGGCATAACAGTAATTTCATGGTAGCACATTGGTGTTTAAACACGCAACGCTGTCTTACTTCAGGAGGAGAACGGAGGTGAAGTTCTGGCTCCAAACATACATATCAGCAGAGCCGGTGGATGAACGTACCTGGACAAAATCTCTCTTTATTTTTGTGTGCTTATAAAGTTTGCCCTAGTATCAACTATCATAGGAAAGTTCCCTAAAATGAGCTGAAAAGCCACACCTTAATGTCTCTTTCTAAAGTGGTCTTTTACGTCAGATTAACTCGGTGTAGCCTGAGAAGTCAAACCGTCTTGCTGGAATAAAATACCACTTTCTGAAACCC